TTAAATAAATCTAAGGAAAGTAGGATGATATTGGAATTCAAAATTTAGATTAGGTAAAAAGTCAAAAGATTACCTAGAAAAGCAAAAAAGCAAATAGAAGGGTAGGATCATAGGTAGTACAAAAATTCAAAAGAAAATGCAAAAAAAAAATAAAAAAAAGGGTAGGCTTGTCAGTTGTCTAGACTTACTCATGCAGTTGTCGGTTGTTGGGCCTAGGAGTCGACAACCACCTACTTGGACCTTCAGTTACAACCGCAATCGATGTCAGCTCAATCGATTACCAAAAAAGCCTGACCCATCAGTTGCGGTTGTAGGCGGGTACGGGCTTTTTTGTGGTTGCAGGCCTAAACGCCCAGCCCTATGTTTGGATAGAAAATAGCAAAGGGAAGGGAGACAAAAACCAATATTTAGCCCTTATCTTACAAAGTTGGTAGGTTTTAACCTTTCACTTTATAATACGACACTTCTTAACCCTTTACCTTACAAATTTGGTAGGTTTTAACCCCTCACCTTACAAAGTTGGTAGATTTTAACCCTTTACCTTATAGTATGACATTTTTAGCCCATTACCTATACGAATCGAAAAAAATAACTCTCACCTAATATTAGGTTATAACATTCTGTTAATTCTGTTAGCTAACTGTTAATATCTATTAGTATTTCGTTATAAAAAAACATGAAATTTAAATTCAATTTTATTTGTTAGTTCCATTAATGGAATGTTAACGGATGCTGACAGTCAGCTAACAAAACTAACAATCAGCTAATAGAACTAACAGTAACTAACAAAACTAACAGAATATTATAACCTGATGTTAAGTGAGAGCTATTTTCTTCAATTCGTATAGATAAGGGGCTAAAAGTGTCATAATATAACATGAGGGGTTAAAACCTACTAATTTTGTAAGGTGAGGGGTTAAAATCTACTAACTTTATAAGGTAAAGAGCTAAAAGTGTCATATTATAAGGTTAGGGGTTAAAACTTACCAATTTTGTAAGGTGAGGGGCTAAAAGTTGGTTTTAGCTGGGAAGGGAAGGGAGGGAAACAAAGAAAATAAAAGGAAATGGAGGGAAAGGAAGAGAAAAGGAAGGAAAGAAAGCAAGAGGAAATGATATCTGTTAATTTTGTTTGGATAAATAAAAATAAGGAAAGGGAAGGGAAGGGAAGGATTGTATTATTTGGTGTTTAAATAATTAACATAAAAGGAGCATAAGGATTTAAATAATTTTAAATTTATAAATTTGCCCTTTAGTTAAGCATTCAACAACTGTTGTTGCTTCTTGGAATTCAAGCAGTGGCGGAATTAAGAATTTTAATCAAGGGGTGTCAGCTTTTCAAATCTTAAAATAATGCATTGTAAATTTGAAAACTTACTTTTTATATGATAAATTAAAATAATACTTAATGAGTTTTCATATCACGAAATCTATCTATAATATAGTTTACACAAAATAACTGAAATATTTCTTTTTTAATATAAATAATCAAAGAGTTTGAAAGGAATTCATCTTTCATTTTACTACAAAGTCTCATTTTCACAATTTTCATGGTAGAAAATGCTCTCTGTTGTTGTTGTATAAATTGGAAGAGTAAACACCAAAGTAATTAATTTGTAAATAAAACTATAGATCTCTGATTTTCTTGTCTCCACAAGCCATTGACATTGCTCAAAAATATTTGACAAATTCTAAAAACCCTAAGCACAACTAGTTTCAATCTCATAATGTCGAAGGTTTGATCTCAAATGAAGTTTCTCCATCTCTGAAAGATCTTGAGGATAGTATTTTTCTACAAGCCCACAAATATGATCAACCTTGAAACTCTTGCACCCATTTCTAGAATCTAAAGCACCACTAAGAGTCAATAGTTCCATTGCATTTTCATTAAACCTGAAATTCAATTCTTAAAATTAGGAATCGATTGCAACATTGATAATATCTATTCAATAATGATGCATAATAATAATAATATCTTGTTGGTGATGAGCATGTCCTCTCGTGTAATATATGTGGCAAACATGTCAAAAGCATCTATATTATTAATATCACAAAATAATTTTATCTTTTCAAGAATCCCATCCATTTTCTCTGAATTGTTGAATGATAGCCTTTGTTGACTTAACAAGATTTAAAGCATTTAAAATATCTTGAGATTTATGCTGCAAAGCTTGACACAACAAATCTATGATCTCCATGATTTCTTTCATAAGCTGTAAAATAAAACAAACTCAAAAGATATCAACGCATTATATCTTGCAAATAAAAAATATATATTACTTACCTTTAAAATTTTCTTTTAAGATGTAGAATTCAAACAAAATTTAGAAAATTCAATATGTTATATTACCTTTAAAGACTTTTCCATGTTGTGAAGAAGTAGACCCCTCCTTAATCAACTTGCTCAAAACAGTAGAAGTTGCACTAAACACTTTTAACATGCTTAAAATAGATTTCAAATGTGAACTCCAACAAATGCCACCAAGTCACTATAGAGTGCCAATCTTATTAAATCTACTTCCAATTTCAAGTTCATCATTTTCAATCAAATAAGCAATATCAAAAGCATAAATAGATTTCAATTCATCATTGCGCTTAGAAGAAGCTACTACAACATTGACAATACATGTCAAGTTTGAAAAAAAAATTATACACGAAAATGACCTCTTTTGATGATGCAACTAAAGTTAATTGTAACCAATGAGCTAAGTAGTGAATGTAGTAAGCATAAGGACACTCTTTGCTAATCAAAGCTTGAAGTTCGTTAAACTCACCTCTCATATTACTTGCACCATCATATCCTTGATCACGAATGTTTTGAATGTCAAGATTATAATGAGAAAGCAGAGTAACAATAACTTCTTTAAAAGTTTTAACTAATGTGTCTATCACATGAACAACACTAAAGAAGCACTCTCTCAAAAATCCTTTTTCATCAACAAATCTCCAAACCAAGGCCATTTGCTCCTTTGACTCATCTCTTACTTCATCAACAATAATACAAAACTTATCATCACATATTTCTTGGTGAATACTTTCTTGCTTTATTCGCCAAAACTTGTAAAATCTCCTTTTGGGTTTCTCGTGAAGTACACAAAGCATTTTGAGGAGCATTCTCCATGACAAGTTTAACATCCTCATTATAAAATGACAATAACTTCAACAATTCAATAAAATTCCTCCAATTGCTTGAGTTGCTACTTTCATCATGACCTCTAAAAGCACAACCTTGAGTTGCAAGCCATTTCACTACATCAAATGAAGCTTGAAATTGTAGACGATTGTTTAAAACTTGTTGTCTAGTCTTTTTATGAAGCAAATAGTCAATGTGTTGAGATTGCTTCATCAAATCTTCACAAGCTCTTTCATTGATTTTATGAGAAGAGTTTGGATCATTTCCCACATGGTTCAAGAAAGCACATCTCTTTCCATCTCTTACTTTCTTCCATTTCCAAAATCCCCCCCACAATGAATGCATCATGTCCACCACCACCTCTAGAGTTTTCTCCTGGGTTATAAAAGAGAAAACAATAAAGACAAAAGGCTGCATCTTTCTCAAGAGAATATTCCAACCATGATGAAAACATTTTAGTTGTAAACCACGATGGCATAAAGTGACGTTGATGACCTATTGGTCCAAATTTTCTATACTTCTCTATTTTAGTTGATATGAACTAGCAATTAAATAAACTTTTCAAATTCGATTTTAGTCTTCCAAGTGATATTCATATATTTGCTTTCACTTTCTTGGATCACGCTCAATAAGAATACCATCTACATTGACTTTCGAATCTTCTTCTTGTGCAGGCTCTTTGAAGATGACTTGTGTTTGTGTAGGTTTTTGTTGAAGTTCCTCAACTATGTTTTTTGATGCCCTTTCATTTTCCTTTGGATCTTCTTCTCTTTTTCTCCTATAAAAAGACTCAATTGTTCCTTTCCTTCCCATTAATACAATCAATCCTAATAAAAAAGTAAAGTTAAAAAAAAAAAAATAAACTAACATAGTAAACAAAAATAGAAAATTTTATTCAATAAAAGTTTCAAATATGAAATTAAATTAACATAATAAACAAATAAATTATCATAATCTTAAATGTTACAATTCTAATCCACTAGCCATTTTCTTGTTCATCTCAATCTCAAATTTTAATAAGAGATCTAAAATTTGAAAATGGAGGTAGCAATGGACAACATAAAACCTTTAAGCACTTAATTGGTTATCAAGTTTCCTAAAATAATATATCAGTATGTAGTGATGGAGCACTTAATTATCTGAGTTATCAGTTATTTATGATTCTCTAATGGAAGAGATTCTCCATCTCCACAGGTAAGGTTGGCAAATATGAAATATGATAACATCCTATCTCTTTATCCTACCACTTTGTATAATCAAACAATTTTTTTCCCTTTTTATAAGCTAATTACACTTTATACTAGTTTATCTTCATTTTATACTAATTTATCTTCCTATTGCTTTTCTCTATATGACTATATCCAAAGTTTTTCTTTTTTTCAATTTTTTTGTTTACTCCGATCCAATTTTATTCCATATAATTTCAATATAATTTCAATATTATCATAATATTCAATTTTTTTTGTAATCTCAACAACACTAAATCCTAAAGGAAATTATACAATTTTTTGTGATAATAAAAATCAATAAGTTTCATTAGTTAAATATATATCCCTCGATACTAGATTAATAGATTTTTTGTTTTATCTTCAAAGGAAGGATTTGAAAACAATTTCTATATTTACCTATTTTATACTTAAAAAATAACTAAGAATAAATATTTACTTTAATAAGAAGATGAATAATTAAAGTTAAGAGATAATTATAAGGTTAAAACATAAAAAAACTATTTATCTTCCTTAAAATAAAAAAATGACTATTATTCTAGAATAAATTCTAAATAAAAAATATCAATTATTATGGGAACATATCTACTAACAAGTATAAGATAAAATTTTAAAATAAAATAAAAGAAACTTACAAAACTTAAAAGTTGAAAGCCAAAATAGCAATATAGGATTCATATAAAAAGAGATGGTGTTGTTTTTAATTTTTACCAAGAAGTTAGTGGTCCTTTTGTCTTTAAGCTTTCAATGGCAAGAGTAGTGTTGCAGTTACTTGTGTCTGGCCGACGGTAGGGTCTTTTTCTTCTCTTTTTTCTATTTTTGAAGTTGTTGGGTTGAGGTTGATTGGTTAAAGGAGCTTGGCACTGGAATAATGGGGTTGGATACGGGAGAAATAACGTAGAAGACACAAGAACCTATTTTTCCTCTCTTTTTTTTTCTTTTTCTACAAAATTCAGTTGTAAGCCTTGAGATGGGTGGGTTTAAACAATAATAATTAGTTAAATTGTTAAAATCAGCTCATTATTATTGGATTCTTTTTTATTTTATGTATTTTAACAATTAAAAATACAATATTTAAAATTTTAATAATAATAATTAATAGATTAATTATATATATTTCAAATCCTAGGGGGGGCCACCACCCCCTAGTTTACATGTGGCTCCGCCCCTAAATTCAAGACAAACGTAACAACAATCATTCAAAAGAAAATTTCACTCTACATAACTCATTAAAGAAGATACATATTGATGTAGACAATTATAAAAAGTAACATGGATTCTTATAACTAAGAAATAGCCCTCCTACACATGTCTCTCATGTCATCCATCTATATTTATGAAATACAAATTAAAATCCTATGTCATGATATATTTTAAATTCAATTGTATAATTAAGGTTCATAAGAATAAAAAAAAAAAACGAATTCTTATAACTAAGAAATGAAAAAATAATCAAAGTCTAGCAATGTATAAATATAAATATAAAGTATTCAAATATACAAATATAAACTAGTAATTTTTAAATTAGAATTACTTGGATCAATGCTTGAAGGTTGGCAAACCAAACCCCTATCACAGCTTTATCTTTGAAAATCTATGGATAAGTCATCAATTGTTATCATCGAATTCAAAGTTATCACCGAACTTAACAAAAAAGTAACTAAAAAAATTTAAAATTAACTAAATATTTTTTGGCACAAATATCTTCTAAACACAACATGTCAAATTGTTTGGCAACAATTTTGACAAGAATACAAACAACAGCTTGTCAAAGTTAACTATATTACTTTTGCTTTTTGATATTTTGAAAAGTGTAAAATCTCTGTAACTAACCTTTTTGAAGGGAGAGGTGTATTGCTCTGGATAAAGTGAGAATCCAATTCTTCAATGGGTTTTGGAGATAGGTCCAGACCCACATAACATCATCATGACCCTCAAAAGATTGTTTTCTTTAATGAGAAGAACTCTTATTTGTTATAGAGACACCAAGCACGTGAATCATGTTAGAGGAAATAAAAAGAGATTTTGGGTTTTCATCTACCATTGTTTAATATATATCAACTTGTATAGAAAACAAGGGAATCTGGGTTTTCATTAGAAATGCTAATAGTAAAAGATTTGTGAAGATATCAGTAAACACCTAATCTTATATGTTCTGGTATAAGTTGATTATGAAACAAGAGATCTAATAAATGAAGTGATATACTACATATTACTTTATCTTTTTGCATTAATTATGTGAAAATGGGTTAACTTTAACCAAGCAAGAGAATAATAACTCACTTAAAACACAAACAACATGGTAAAACATAACCAACTTCGAAAAGCTCATCTATAAGAATACAAACAACATGGTAAAATATAACCAAAGAAGAGTACATAATCCAACTTAAACCACCTTCTAGAAAGAGCAACATAAGAAACAATTAAAATTGGTTGTAAAGCAATAAAAGCAAAACAAAAGCTACTAAACAAATTTTGATAAAAGACACAAACTAGAAATAAACCATAAAGGTAAAGATGCAAATTGGGTGCAAAATTTAATAATTACTAGAAACCTTAATTCTAAAATTATAAACTCCATAAATTTGACAAAGTTGGGGAAGAGTAATCAATATAAATATCTTAAAAACAATAACTCGCTTGAATTGAGTGTATGAAATGCAATCATTAGTGAAGAACACAAGAGTGATGTTCTGCTCCAACCAGTGAGGCAATTGAAGATGATTAGGAAAGAAAAAAGATGTAGCAATAAGGTCATGATGATAGCAACTTGTGCCAAAGAGAGAAGCAATAAAGTTTCATGGAGAGTAAGAGAGAAGATGTGAAAAGAAACTTAGACGGCAAGAGTTGAGCAATGGGATTAAAGATAAGAGGAAATAAAGATGGTGAGGAGAAGTGGGGTTCTAGAAGGGTATTGGGTTTAGGTTTGAAACAAAAGGGGCCTAAGGAAGACGAAGACAGAAGCAGTGGCAGCTTGAAGGAAGTGTGAATTAGGAATTGAGACTTCCATTCATCTAATAACTCCATTGGGTTTCGGTTTGATGCTCCAATGAACTTTTAAATTAGGGAAAAGAAATCTAAGCTTCTGTTAATTAACATGAGCAAAAGATTGAGGAGGAAAGAAACAAAGAAGAACAAGGGGTAAAAAGAAGGTGTGACATTGAGAGAAGATAAAAATAGCAAGGTGTTGAGATGTAGGGGAGAAAACTGGTATTGACATATAATAATCTCATTTATTTCTTTACTAGATAGTTTTATACTATAAATAAATCCAGCAATGGACTTCGAACTAAAATAGAGAAGCAAAAATATAATAAAGACAAGGAGTGTTCAAGGTATACTCTTTGGTTTATGGCTGATGCACCAAATACGCACTACTTTTAGGCAAGTGAACCTAATCGATTATGCAGTATAAGATGAGTAAGATATCATTCCCTCGGAGACTATCCTACACTACCAAGACCCTATTAATCTAACCTAAGTTGAATTAACCAATTAATGGGGAAAACTAAACTATTTAAAAGAAAACTAAGTCAACTAAAGAAAATTAAACTAAAGAATTTTCTAAGTTAAAGAAACTATGAATGAGAAGGAACTAGGGTTTGGATTT